ACTAGCAATAGCTAAGTGCACACAGATATCAGGCTGGACCTCTGCTCATTTTGTTGTTAGGTGCCTTCAAGCTGGTTCCAACTCATAGTGACCCTGTGTACAACAGAATGAAGCGCTGCCCAGGCCTGCGCCATCCTCACAATTGTTGCTATGTTTGAGCCCATTGTTGTAGCCACTGTGTCAATCTACCTCGTTGAGGGTCTTCGTCTTTCTCACTGACCCTTTACCAAGCATGATGTCCTTCTCCAGGGACTGATCCCTCCTGCTAACATGTCCAAAGTATTTGAGACAAAATCTCGCCATCCTCCCTTCTAAGAAGCATTCTGGCTGTACTTCTTACAAGACAGATTTGTTCGTTCTTCTGGCAGTTCATAGTATATTCAATATTCTTAGCCAACACCATAATTCAAAGACATGAATTCTTCTTCAGTCTTCCTTATTCATTGTCCAGTTTTTGCATGCATATGGGGTTGACCCTGGTGGTATAGTGGTTAAGAGCTATGGCTGCTAAGAAAAAGGTCGGCAGTTTGAATCCACCAGGCGCTCCATGGAAACCATATGGGGCAGTTCTACTCTGTCCTATAGGGTCGCCAAGAGTTGGGATTGACTTGATGGCAACGGGTTTGGTTACAGTTTATGAGGCGACTGAAAATACTGTGGCTTGGGTCAGGTGCACCTTAGTCCTCAAAGTGACATCTTTGCTTTTTAACACTTTAAAGAGGTTTTTTTGCAGCAGATATGCCTAATCCAAAATGTCATCTGATTTCTTGACTGCTGCTTCCATGGGCGTTGATTGTGAATCTAAGTAGAATGAAATCCCTCGACAACTTCAATATTTTCTCCGATTACCATAATGTTGTTTATCGGTCCAGTTACGAGGATTTTTGTTTTCTTTACGTTGAGATGTAATCGATACTGAGGGCTACAGTCTTTGATCTTCATCAGTAAGTGCTTTCAGCCAGCAAGGTTGTGTCATCTGCATATCGCACGTTGTTAATGAGTCTTCCTCCAATCCTAATGCCGCGTTCTTCTTCAGATAGTCCAGCTTCTCAGATTAGTTGTTCAGCATGCAGACTAAGTATGGTGAAAAGATAAAACCCTGACACATACTTTTCCTGATTTTAGACCAAGCAGTATCTCTTTGTTCTGTTCGAACAACGGCCTCTTGATCTATGTACAGGTTCCTCATGAGCACAATTAAGTGTTCCAGAATTCCCACTCTTGGAAATGTTATCCATAATTTCTTATGATCCACACAGTTGAATGCCTTTGCATAGTCAAAGAAACACAGGTAAACATCTTTCTGGTATTCTCTGCTTTCGGCCAAGATCTATCTGATATCAGCAATGATGTACCGCGTTCCATGTCGTCTTCTGAATCTGGCTTGAATTTCTGGCAGTTCCTCGTTGATATACTGCTGTAACTGTTTTTGAATGATCTTCAGCAAAATTTACTTGTGTGTAGTATTAATGACACTGTTTGATAATTTCCACATTATGCTGGATCACCTTCCTTAGGAATGGCCACAAATATGGATCTCTTCTAGCCAGGTGGCCAAGTAGCTGTCTTCCAAATTTCTTGACACAGACGCGTGAGCACTTCCAGTGTTACATCTGTTTGCTGAAAACATCTCAATTGGTATTTCGTCAATTCCTGAAGCCTTGTATTTTGCCAATGCCTTCAGTGCAGCATGGACTTCTTCCTTCAATACCACTGGTTCTTGATCATATGCTACCTCCTGAAATGGTTGAATGTCAGTCAACTCTTTTTGGTACAGTGACTGTGTATTCCTTCCATCTTCTTTTGATGCTTCCTGCTTCATTCAGTATTTTTGGACCTCTGCTCTACTAACCGTTAAAGGATCAAAAAGCTGATAGTATGGCTCAAAGAAGTAAAATCAGAAAAAAAAGGTGGGAGGGCGGGGGAATCCATGCTGGGCCAAGAAATCTTACTGAACTTAGCTGTCCAAATAGAGGTGGAGTAAACTACTGTGATGTGCAACCCTAGGAAGTGCTGAAAGCACAGACCCAACACATAGGAAGAAGTTCACACTGCCTCTTGCTTGCCCAGGTAATATTGGACAGCAATGATTAAAAGATGCCCCATTCAGGGTTTCAGGATGCTGAAAAACTCAGGAAAGAGGACTCTATAAAACTCTATTTAGGAGACATTTTCCCAAATGAAAGGAGATGGGGAAAGAGATGTCAGCAAGAGGGAAACTACATCAAACATCAGTAGAGAAGTTACAAAACTTCTGTATCTTCCTCTCTCTGAATCAGTAATTTCTGTTTTCTCAATATAAGCAGGTGACAGTTAGATTCCTGAACTTCCTTATTTTCTTCCCAGATACTGTTTCATTTGCAATGTCCTTTTTGGGTAGGGTTGCAATGCAACTAATTATCCCTCCATTGTATCCCAGGCCTCTATAATGTGCCATTCAAACCAATTTCATTACACAAATTTTATGAATCAAAGCAAAAATCTTTGGGTGAGAAAAGGGCTTGGTGGCAACAGCTGATCTTCCAGATGCTCTGGGAATGAATATAAAATCCAGCCAAACAGTTTGCTTCCTTCAAGTAGTTATAAGAAAGAGAACATAAAAGGAATGTTGTTAAAGCTCAGTAATACTGAGTATAATGGTGTAATGGAATGGTAATAACAGCAATGTGAATTATGTACCATCTTTCATTGAAGACATTCACACTCTCTGACTAATTAATGTTACCCCTTCTTTACTGGCAAGGGACACAAATGAACAGTGAGCAAGATTCTAAGAACTTGTCCAAGATCACACAGTGACTCAGAAGCAAGCCCGAGGTAGAATCACTGTTCTGATTTCCACAAAACTTCTGCCTTAATCTTTTCCAAGTGTGTTCTTTCTCATTTCTTCCTGAGCTACCTTCAGCTCCTACTCCCTTTCGCTGAGTATTCTGGGAGAGACTGTTTGGGAGCAGTATGCCCCACTGGACAGTCGATCATGCTGTAGGAAGAGTTATGAGACTCAGAGCCATTAACACAGCATCCCTTCATGGCACCAGCAAGTCATCCCTTTGGTCTCCTGTACTGCCAAACCTCTTTAAAATGTTCTCATCTTTTAAAAAGCACTTATCTAAACATCTTACAGTTCACTATTGGGTAGAGGAAGGGGGGAGATAGGGATTATTATTTACTTTCTGTTGAAGCTACTTGTGTATAAGGATTAATAACTTATGCTTTAGTTCTAGTGCCAATGAAAATTGGTGAGTTACAAGGTTGCAGAACTGAAAGAAGAAAAAACACAAATAGCTAAAATATGTGCTATAGACTTGAAATGTCAACTGAAAAAGACTGCTGATCGATTGCTTCTTTCTGATTTTTTTTTTTTTGTCCCCACTTAATTACAGAAAGGACCACAAATGCACCAGGAAAAAAAAAAAAAAAAATCACAAATCCTGCTGGTACAAAGAATGCAGAGTGAAATTAAATACCAACCATTACTACAGTTGTCTTGTTAATGTCAAGATATAAGAATGAAGATCTTGGATTAGGGCCTAGAGAAGTGATTCAGCAACTCCCTTACACAGTTGAGTCATTATTGGCATTAGAGATTTTGACTTTAAAAAGTTCGGTATTTCTGAAGAGTATCTAAAAGGATTATCTTTATGAAGCTGCCCTTTTTGCATGTGGAAGACTTGTGTTTCGAATGAGAAAGATACAAGCCAGGAGACGACACAATTTTAACTAAAGCTGGTGTGTGTGAAGAGAAATACTGAATAGTAATCTGCACACTATCTTCAAGAGAATAACGCAAGAGGTTAGAAAAAGCAATTAACATGAGTCACTGGGGTTGAAGAGACTGACATGGAAAACTGAACAAATACAATGGATCTAGTGAATGCTAAAGTAGTTTGCTTTCAAGCTTTCCTCTTTTAGTTCAATCTGCGTCACTCTGACTTTCCATCAAAGTTGGGTGGGAGAAAAGAAGAGAAATGAAATTTTGCACACACACACACACACACACACAAAACAGCTCAAGAAACATGTAGAGAAAAATTCTGAAGATAAAATTGTTATGAGGACTCTTTCTTAGTCCTAGATCTGATGTAACAAATACCGAGGCAGCTCTTCTATGGAGAGAAGAACCAAGTTTCCCTCCTAGTGACAGAGTACCAGTTAATACAAAATGAAAACCTGATTTGCAATTCAACCCGGATTTTTACCTGTCTTTCCTGTCTGGAATGTAGATTTATGAGAAACAATGAAGATACTGTTTGGGAAATATAGGCTCCAAGAGAGCATTATTCATCTATTGCATCATGTTCAATTCTGGACTGAAATGAGAGAAGACTGAGGATTATTTTAAACATGTAGTTCACTCAAAATGGACAGAGGAAAAAAAAAAGAGACTCAATGAAAGTCTAAGCACCCACTTTTAAGAGCCCTGTGGCATTTACCACTGAAGTTATAACAAAAGAGGTGATATAAATCGTTAGAGGGCTAATCTAAGATGAGAATTCAGAAGAGTTATAAATTCAATAGCTCTTAGAAACAAGAAATTCCTAATGTTGGTCTAAAAACCTTTGAAAAAGTGCCATTCTTGCTCTCTGCTATGGGAGATATGGGGTAATTACTAAGTTACAGTTGAACATCTAGTACCAGCAGTTGCCACTAAAGTCCCCAGGTCTTCACGTTGATTCTCTTCTTTCTAAGGAGGTAGTGAGGGCCATTTAACCAACTACCTCAGTGTAGACTTAATTTCAGTTAAATGAAAGATCACACAGTCTGAGGGCTGAGATATTCCCAACTACCACTGTATGTCAACATTCTTATCATCACCAAAATTAATTTTTCTCAATGTGGTCGCAATCCAGCAACAGAATAAACTCAGGAGCTTAACAACTAGGTTTTGAGTTCCTTAAGGGCAGAGGAGATATTTTATTCATCCTTATATCCCTAGCACCCAACACAGTGTCTACCACATAGTTTGCACTCAATAAACACTTGCTAAAATAAAATATTACCATGTAAAATGTCCGAGTCATCTTCAACAAAATCGATGTCTCTCAAGTCCCATTCTGCATAATTGTCAAACTCCTGTTTGGGAAAAAAAATCCCCACCCCAAAGCCATTAACTTGAATTAATGCCTTTATAGTAGTCATGACTTAGAAACAAACAGAAAATACATGAGCAGGTATTTGTTTAAAATAGTGAATGGCAAACGGGGGAAAATGGAGAACAGAATTTCAAATTCTTATGGAATCCAGACTTTCTGGAGCCATAGAGACTGGATGAATTCCTCAAATTACTGCCCTGAGATAAGCTTGAAACTTTAAAGCAAAATATCCCCTGAAGTCTTCGTAAAACCAAACAATATAGCTTACGTGACTAGTAAAGAATATCTGCCTCGAACACTGTATTCTTTTTAAGATCTATCTTTGTGGGATCAAATTACAAACAGCTACTCACAAGATTAGATAGGAACTTTAGGAGGCAGTGAGTTTCGTAATGGGGGAAGAACAACTCAGAAAAGGAGGGCGAGAAGGACTGCATAGAATGTAGTCGATATCACTGAATTGTACATGTAGAAACTGATGAATTGCTGTATATTTTGTTGTATATATTCTCACCGACAACAAAAATAAATAAAATAAATTATTTAAAAAAATAGCGAATGGGATAAAAGGCCAGGATGCTTCCACAAGTAACAGAAAGTCATGGGAAAAATCTGAGACTTTTCAGGCAGTAGTGACAGCAAAAATCAGAATAATTATAAGTTCAAGAATAAAGCCAAACCTGTTGTTCTAAAAATTAAAAGTAGTCCCTTCATTCGTGAGAAAACTTAACTTTGACCAGGCTTTCCAGTATTTGGGGGTAAAAAAAAAAAAATGTCTGCATTAATTCATCTACCTTTTACTACCTTCTGAGTGCTCTATTTATTCAATAATATTGTTTAGGCAGTTTAATGGGTAGATCTGTTCATATTCTAGTCAATGAGTACAATTCGAAGAGGGGAGTGGTGTCTATAGGGTAGCTCTGCACTATCACCAGCCATGATAAAATGCTGACCTGAGTATGGATGGCAAAACTGTAGTTTATTAATAAATTCTCAAGTTACCTCCAGTAGCACTATAGTTGTGGATCTTTAGACAATAAATCAAGAGACTTTTGAGTATATTCACACAATCTTAATTTCATGGCTCGATGAGGAACATGTAGTTTTTATAAACATTCACCATTCCTTGTATCTTTGTGGATACAGTACAGGGGTCAGCAAACTGGGGCCCATGGGCCAAATACAACCCACTGCTTGTTTCTATAAATAAAGTTTTTACTGGAAAACGGGCACACTCATTTGTTTATATATTACCTATGGCTGCTTTTGCACCATACTGGCAAAGTTTAGTTGCAACAGATACTGAATGGCTTGCAAAACCTAAAGTATTTACTATCTGGCTCTGTACAGAAAAAGTTTGCCAACTTCTGATACAATACAACAACCCTGAAACCCCGTAGGTGTGGAACGTGAACCAGACTGCAGAAATCCCATACCTACTGAAGAAGTGGGAGCCAACACTAATGCTACTTGAGAAAAAGATTCTTGGTCTGAAGAACTTTTATTGTTCCACACATAAAATGTTTACAAACGAGAAAAGGCCCTCAAATAGAAGAAAATGTGGCTGCCTAAGGCCCTACAAATTACATTGCCTTGAAAATCTCCTTACAGTGGTATGAAGCCTATGGGCAAGAGAGATAAACCTCATTAGAAATAAATATCTTGTGCTTGTGCTAAAAACAAGTTCCTCCTACCTCGATGAAGTCTGCTCGAGCTGGCATGTATCCTGCCATGTCCTGAGAAAGCAGGGAGTCAAAGGTAGGTCGGGGAGGGTCATCTGCAGCTGGAAGAATTTAGAGTTTTTCTTAGCTACTTAATAAAATACTAGTATGAAAAAGTGACACAGAGATAGTTTTCATCTACATCCTGAAGTATTTTTGTTTGGAGTCAGAACGTTTCTAAGAGAATTAATAAAAATTGAAAAGGTTTTTATGAATGAAAAAGTGAAAGAGATATTAAGGTATTATGGAAATACAGATTGATTTCTTAAAAAGAAAAAGAAGACTTAGGGAATCCTCAAATAAATATGGGGGCCTTATCCCTGATTTTTGCTTTCTTAACATGAAAGGAAGGAGCCCTGGTAGTGCAACAGTTAAGCACTCAGCTACTAACGTAAAGGCTGGCAGTTTGAACAAACCAAGTAGCTCCATGGGAGAAAGACCTGGAGATCTGCTTAGTAAAACTTACAGCCAAGAAAACCCTATGGGGCAGTTCTACTCTGTCACATGGGGTCGCTATGAGTCAGAATCAAGTTGACGGCACCCAACAATAACGATAACATGAAAGGAAGCGAAGGACCTTTTCTTTTAATATTATAGAACCAAAGTATTTACCCTGTCTTCTTCAGTTCTCTTACCTGCTTAGGAACAATTTCAGTTTACAAATCTTATCCAACTGAGAGGCAAAAAACACTGGAACTGAGTCCTAACTCTAACATCCACTAGTCCCAGGACTTTGTGCAAATTATTTAACCTTCTGAACTTCAGTTTCCTCATGGATAAAATGAGACCACTTGCTCTGCCCATCTCACTGGGTTGCTCTGAGGAAAAAAGGGTCTAATAGGTGTGGGAACAGAGTATAAACTAACATCCAAAGTGCTATGCAAATAGGGGGTATCATGAGACTCCAGATTAGTCAGCTTTAATACTATTTCTAGGGACTATGAGGAAAGGGAGGAGGGAGGAGGAAACATTCACATTTCATTACTTATGCTCTGGGAGTCATTCAGGAAAGATGTCCGTTTATAATTCATCATGTTTTTTATTATGTTTTGTTAAAAGTCCCATGGGTCCCTCAGCCACATGAGATTAGGAGAAAAAAGTTTGCCATCACTGCCACAATCAAGTGAACAACAGTAACAAATTGCTTCTTGGACTTAATATTGGGGTGATTAATAATAATTCATCACATATTGGGCTCTCTTAAGTAACTAATATCTGTGATCACAAACTCTCCAAAGGAATTGCAAAAAGGCTCATATTTAGAACAGCATGAAAGGGATGGCCCTTTTTGGACATCTCATCTTGCAGAAGCAAGCATTAAAGTTAACTGATATGCTTAAGGACTCAGAGTGGGTAGAAATACACAATGGCTCCAGGCACCCTGCGTCCAGTATAGAACTCTGATCCCTGGGATACGTTCCCACCCTGCCACATTATGGAACTGACTCTCAATAACTGTCATGCCAACTTCTCCTATCTTCCATTAGCCTTTTAGCTGTCCAAGACATCAAATCACTATTTATCTGATACCGAAACAGGGCCTAAGAATGAACGAAGTATCCCACACCAAAATAAGCAGGCACTTACAGTGAAATGGAATGGCTGTGTCAGCAGTTTTTGCCTCCTCTGCTTGCTTCAGGTTCAGCAAGGTAGAGGCAAACAGAGGGTTATTGATGAAATGCTTCATATAGTGCTTCTCACACTCCTCCTTGGTCTTGGTACACATCTGATTGGCTACATCCTGCCTAGAGGAGGAGTGGGAAAAAGAAAGAAGGAAACAGTGCTTTCATTTACGCATAATGCTAAAAGCATGGTTTGTTCTTTCCATATAATGTCTGGAGTCTGATACCTCCAAGCTGGTATCAAGAAGATACCAGTAAAACAATGAGACAAATATAAGCCTAGTATTAATGTAATCTGACATTCCAAATCTTGTTATTCCAAGATATAGAAATGATATCTAAAAAGTTCTCTTTTCAACCAAAAGAAAATCACTAGAAAATTTATAAATTTCTCTGTGAGTTAGTCCATATGGAAAGAATTGCTATAAATATTAAACTACTTCAGAACATTAAAAATATACATATGGTTTTATATTTGCAGTGTTTTATAGTTTACAAACCATTTCACATGAACAAACATTTTTTTACTAGAGCCTCTACTATTGCCAGACTCTGAACTAGGAACATTCACAACATACATTTAGGTTAATCCTAGTATTAACTCTGTGGTGTGGGTATTATTACTATCTCAATTTAACAAAAGAAAAAATGAGTCCCCAAAAAGTTAAGAAACTTGTTCTAGAATAGAAAGCTAGCAAGTGACAAAGTCAGAATTTGTACTCAAAACCTCTCACTCCTAGCCCAGATGATGAAGAGGTAGAGGTGAAATCTCTCAAAGTCCCTGCCTCAGCCTCTGTCTTCCACAGCATTCTACCTGTTTTTCTCCTAAGGTATAACTATGCTCTGTTTTGTGTTCTTCAATCATTTGTATACCTATTTTGATTTTCCTAATAGACTATAAACTTCTTGAGGGCTGGATCCATGTCTAAATTCTTAGCTACAGCCCCCCTCACCATCCAGCTTAGTGCCTTACCCAAAGTGAGCAGAGAGGCAGTTAACAGTCTTTTATGTGGTCTGCTATGAGGGAAGGGGGGCAGGGAGGACTAGGTCATTTTGGAGAGTTAGAATGTCAAGCAAAAAATAAAAAACCAGGCCAAAGATGACTAGCAAGCTCCTCACTTTTTCTACTTTCTTTGGTATTTCCCATAGTACACAATATTTTATGTTTAACGAATGCATATAAGCAAAATGTGAATGGAATTCAGGTCTCCTTCCTCAGGGCCCAGGTCATAAGGGAAGTAACATAATATATTCCGATTAATATAAGGAAAAATTATATACACTAGGAAATCAGGACAGGGAGGATCTAGTTAAGAGTCCTTCACTAATAAGCTATGTGATCATGTGAAACCATTTTAACTCCCTCAGCTTCAGACTGTTCATGAACAAAATATATTTACTGATGCCTCCACTATCTAGTTCATAAAATGAAATCATCTGCGTGAAAGCGCTCCCAAAAGGTAAAAATGAAAGTGCTGATATCATTAAGTGGTGTTTACTCCTAAGGCAAGAGCTTTGAGAAACAGTCAATTCTGCCAAGCTTGGACTCAGGCAGGTGTTTGAAAGTTAAAGACAAAAAATGCTAATAGGGAGTCTATGAAACTTGAATCTGAGGTAAGCTATTGCCATCTACCTCAAGTCTGACTCTCTTCAATGACTAGGGCATCTACAGCCAATAAAAAATCATATAAAAGCATATTTGATAAGTCTAAACTTCCCCTATATTCAGAAAGGAACACCCAACCTTCCCAATGTTGATACATTCAGAGTGACCTTTTAGAGCTGCCCAGTCATAGGTCATTAGGCATTCCATATCCCTGTGAGGCACTGCAGCCCTAGAAAAGAATATACAGAAGGGAAGAAGACTTGTCTTTAAATAATGGGTCAGTAAGAAAGAAACATATGGCTCCCAAGTTCCTCTTTTCAAGGCTTTACCCTTTACCCTTCAACACTGACTTCTTTCCTGAGCCCACTAGGGTCGGATAACCCTCAGCACCAAGCTCTCACCAATTTCCAAAGCCACAGTCCATGACAGCTTCTAAAAGGGCCATTTCTTCTTGAGCAGTCCAGCTGGGATCAAGAACAGGAAAATCTGAGGTCTAGGGAGAGAAAAATTTTGCCTAAGAACAGAGATAGAAATAGAACCCAGGAACCCAACTGTAGAACTAGTTTATTTTTTAATGACTGTCACTCTCGTTGTATTGAGAGGTACCTAACATACATTCTTATCAGTTGTCTACCTCCCACATTCCTATTTGCACCATCAGCTACAAAGGTCTCCAACAAATATCTCTCATAAATACCATGCATCTCATGCAGAAATATGTATTTTTTAAACTTAGTACTAAGGTAGAGATAAATATTGTAGCATGCTCTCATTTAGCTAAGAGGAAAAAGCAAATAGAAATGCATGTGTGTATTACAGGGGTGGGAGGGAATGGTGGAAAGGACAAGGATAGAAACTAGATCTTTCTGAATATTCCTCATTTTACACAGATTTGACTTGGAAAACATATAAATATTACACAAAATTATATAGTAAAATAAAATTTTAAAAACACAATCCCTAACAATCAAAAACACACTGTAACAAATAAATCTGTGAATCAATATGAAGGCAAAAACACACAGAAAGGAACTATTCCAAGTGACTTTAAAACACATTAATTTGACTATATATCCCTAGTGGACTATACCTTATGAACAAAAAGAACTGACCCCCCCCCCCACCAAAAAAAACATCTTAAACTGTTTTCAGTAGTGTTGGTACAGTTATTCTGAAATTATTGTATGCGAATGTGTTATGAGGTGAAGCAAATAAGTGATTATGTTGGCATTATTGCAAAGTGGGATTTTAGCATGGGAAAAAAAAAGATATAGGTGTAAGAACTATGTGGTTATTTAAAAAAACAAAAGCAAAAACAAAACCTTACAGTCCTGAATTTGAATTCAAAGTATTAGTATGAACTCATGATGTATTTTATCTTAACAAACAAAAAAATTCCTAACTCTAACCACTGAAAATGTCCAGAAACAATTCTAGAAACAATGACTAGCCCAGTAGCAATGAGCACCTCTAGTGCCCAGTTTGCACTCTCTAAGTACCATTTCCTACTAAGAGGAGCCAAGGCCCCTTAAAGAAAAGGTTGATTCCAGGTCCGAGTTAGGAAAAGTACAAAACAAGTCTGGAGCATCTTGTTATAGCAGAAAGCAAATAATACAAGAGTCATGTCAAAAGAATGCAGGAGCCAACTTATAGAGGACTCCTACTAACCAAAAAGGAAACATTCTGAGCATCAATAAGGATAATAACTGCAAAGAACTGAAACATATCAAATATTTTAAACCTTTGGAGAATGCTAGAGAACCAATTCATGTTTTTAAAGTAGTAAAAAAGGGAAATGATCAAGCATTTATCCTGTCTTTCCTGTACAAACTCTACTTCAGGGTGATCAAATAGATAATAATGAAAAGTTTCTTTTTCTAGAATTATTCTAATCATAAATTGAAAGGAAAGATAGTATGCTGGGACTAATTACTTTTGTGTGTTGCCTTTCCAGCCATGGTCTTGTAACTCCCACCCAGGTGACTGTGTGATAGGGTAATTGTGGCCTACCAAGGAGATGGGTCAGTTTGCCTTAAAAGAGAGCCAATTCCAGAGTAGAGAGGAGGAGCCCACCACCACCACCACCAAGGAAGGAGAGACCTGGCAGCAGTAGATGGGAGGTGAGCTTCCCAGCCCACAGAGAGAGAAAGCTGAGTGCCTTTGGGCAGAGGCTAAGGGCCAGGGAGAGGCATGTCTCTGAGCACGGCTGGGAAGAAGCTGTCCTGATAGAAAAACTGTATCCTGAGTGTTCCTGAGCCTGAACTGTAACTGTTACTTCCCTAATAAACCTCATAATTGTGAATATGGTCTGTGAGTTCTATATGGCCACTGCACTGAGTTACTGAACCTAGCAGAGAAGAAGAGAGTGCTGTGCGAGGAGCGGTTGGTATCAGAATTAGTAAAGATGGTCTAGAGAGGAGGCTTGTCTGGCCTCCACTTCATGGGACTCAGCCTTGTACTGTTGATCTTTGTTCTCCTTCCCCCTTGTGGGGTTGGAGGAGGTCAGATAGTGCCCCCAAGCTGTTTTTACAGATAGACATAAAAGATCACTATTTTGCAGCCCCCAATGATTAACAGATTTAAGCAATGATCATAAATGGGTGAATCAAACCTGAATTTGATGTAGCCTCTAAATGTAATTACCAATTTTCAGGAAACACAGAAGACAGAGGAACATAATCAGCAAAATCCAGACTGTAGTCACAGCTATAAGATAAACAATCCAACTGTTTAAAAATCAAATAAACTATAAGAAATGAAAGACAGAGACAGAGATGGAGGGAGAACTCACAGAACAGAACGTATGTACGAGGCAACTAATTGCAATGTATGGATCTTATTTCTATCCTAATTAGGACTGCAAAAAGAAAAAAATATATATTTATGATACCACTACACACCCACTAGAATAGCTAAAATGAATGAAACTAACAACACTAAATATTGATAAGAATGTGAAGAAGTTTGGAGAACTCTCAAACATTGCTGGTAGAAGTGTAAAATGACACAACCACTTTGGGAAACTTTCTGACAATTTCTTAAAAAGTTAAGCAATCATTTACTCTCAACTCAGCAATTTCACTTAGGTATTTATCCAAAAAAAAAAAAAAAAAGAAGAATGAAAATATATCCAAGAAAAGCCTATACAAAAAATGTTCATAGCATTTTTATTCATAATTGCTAAAAACTGGGGAAAGCGCAGATGTCCATCAACGTAAGAATGGATAAACTAAAACTGTGGTATATTCATACAATGGAATATTACTCAGGATTTAAAAGGAATGAACTATTAACAAACACAACATCAAGAATCAATCTCAAAAACACGCTGAATGAATGATGCTAGAAATGATAAGAATACATACAGTAGTACGATTCCACTTAGATGAAGTTCTAGAACAGGCAAAACTGATCTACGGTGATAGAAATCAGAACAGTGATTGCTTCAGGGGTTAAAAAAGTCTTTATGAGATGATTGGGTAAATGTGCAAAGTGAATGGAGTAACCTAAATTTAGAAAGATCTAATGAAACATTTACAGATGAAATGACATGATTTTTTGGGGATATGCTTTAAAATAATCTGGGTGTGTGGGGGCTGAGGGGTCTACATGAAACAAGATTGGTCATGAGCTGATAATTTTAAGAACAAGTGATAGATATATGGGAATTTGTTATACTATGTGTGGTAGCTAGTTACATCAGTGACCCCCAATGAACTCCTAGAATTCATGCCCTTGTGTGGTCCCTCCCTTTTAATATGGGGTGGACCTGTGACTTCTCCTTAAGAAGACTCGGTAGATTCCACTTTTGTGCTCTTGGGAGCCCTGAGTTACTATGTAAGAAATCTAGCCTCCTTGCCAGAAAGCTCACGTGAAGAGGCCACATGGAAATGGAAAGGCACTAAGACTACATAGAGACGAACCAAGGCCTCAGGCAGTTAAGGCATTCTAGCTAACCTCCAACCAATTCTAGACATTCTAACTGAGGTGCCAGATGTGTGTGAAAAATGCCTCTTGGACTTCCAGCCCTAGCACGTCATGTGGAGCAGAGCCACTCTCACTGTGCCCCAAGTGAATTCCTGATCCACAGAACTGTGGGAGATAATAAAACGGTTGTTACTTTAAGTTACTTAAGTTACTTATTGCTCTTATGCAGCAACAGAAACCAAAACACCATTCTCTCTAGTTTTGTGTTTGAAATTTACTACAGTAAAAACTTTTTTAAAAAGTGACACGATAGGTCTTCAGATTACACAGACATTTAGAAATTATTGTATCTTTTTTACTGACAAAGTCTCTGATGATTTGTGAAATTACATTACCAATAAGCAACACATTTTTAGCTGAGCATTTACTATGTATATACCTAGTACAGTCAGAATTGACTCAACAGAAACTGGTTGCTGGTTAGTACATGAGGCATGAGATTAAAAAAAAATTCCAGAATCTACATCTATATTCAGTTTATAATAATCACTCTCAATCTGACAAGTACTATTTTGTTGCTATTGTTAGTTGTTGTCAAGTTGATTCCAACTCATGGTGAACCCATGTGTTACAGAGTAGAACTGAGTTCCACAGGATTTTCAAGGCTGTGACCTTTCAGAAGCACACTGCCAGGCCTTACTTTCCAGGTACCTCTGGGAAGGTTAGAGCTGCCAACCTTTCAGTCAGTAGTCCAGCACTTAACCATCTGCACAACCCAGAGACAAGTACTACACAAACATTAATATGACAACTCACATACTAGTTGAAGAGCCCATGTTATTCCCCAAATCGTATTTTAGAACATTAAATAATCATTACATAATGAGCCCTCATCACCTTTACTGTGAGACAAACAAGAAAAACTTTCTATACCCCCACCCCTCCCCAAAAAAAGGCATAAGGCAGTTTTTTAAAAAGTTGAATCAATGTTATTCAATTCCTGGACCAAACTCTAGCCCTACTGAACCAGAACCTCTAAGAGCAGGGCCTAGAAGTCTACATTTTAACAAGCTCCCAGGTGATTATGCATGCACTAAAGTTTAAGAACCACTGGTATAGAGGGCATGGCAGAAGGAGCTGCCTTGACTTGTTCAAGGCTCTAAGAATTAAACAAGACAAAAATAGGCACAGAACTCAGAAATCTTGATTAATGCACCACCCACCATAGCATGAGTAACTCCCAAAAATACAGCACTGTGAGATGACAAAAGTACTAAAAACCATTTAAAGTTATCTGAGGCTTCATATGCAAAAACTCAAGCTTTCAGTGGCTTCATGTGTAGAAAGACAAAATTTGATCATCACTCTAGAAGGAAAGATTCACTGGGAATAGATAACACAGGCCAAAAAAAAAAGGGAAGGAGTATAATAACCCTCAAAAGTTCCCCAAAGTATAGAATTCTAAAATGTGTTTGTATGAGTGCTGAATATGTGAGAAAAGGATGATGTAATCAGAAGAATCAAGTGGACTTGGAGTGAAACTTTGTCAATGCCTTCAGCATTAAGAAGACATGGTGCCCAGAACAGCTAAAGAGAGCCCATGGTCAGTTTTCTTACAGTGGATAAGCACGACTCACCAACCTACCCAAGCTATACTAAATTATCCCTTAAGGGATTATTTTCACAATTAAAATGAATAAATTTGTCTCCTGGTTCTAGGCATTCTTCTGTGAAATGGGAAGACTAGATGAGCTTTCTAAATATCTAACAACCTTGGTGAAATGAACTTAAAGCCTCACTACTTTGACCACACACCCCCAACTCCTCACTGATCTTGAAATTAACAAAAAGAAGAATTATATTAACTCTTGCAATTAGTGAAGATATTAATTAAAAGACGGAAGATGTTTAAAAAGAGGTATGGAAATGCTAGCCAACTGGCTGCCAAGAACTCTACTATGTAGCATTTCTTTAATTCATTATGGTTGCAAATCTGACTCTCAGCACTACAGGCCTAGAAACTCATCTTAACAAAACTTCAAAAATGATCATATTCAGAGATGCTGATGAGCCCTTTCTAAAGGGATTTTTAAGAAACTGAAGTGGATACATTACATTTCTGTGGTAGGTAGAATTCCTGGTTATTCAGTCAAACACTAACTAGATACTACTGTGAAGGGACTCTGCAGATGGAATTAAGGTTACTAATCAGCTGATCTTAAAATAGGGAGATTAGCCTGGATCATTCAGGTGGGTCCAATGTAATCACATGAGCCTTTCAAAGTAATAGAGCAGCAGAAGAGTCAGTCAGAGAGATTCAGTTGAAGAAGAGGCAGGAAAGATTCTAAGCGTGAGGAGGATTCCTTGTTGTTGCTTGCTTTGAAGCTGGGGAAAGGGACACAGGAGTCAGGGAATGTGGGCGGCCTCTAGAATCTGAGAATGACTCCTAGCCAACAGGCAGTAAGGAAACGGGACTTCAGTTCCTACAACCACGTGGAAATAAATTCTGCCAAAAACCTGAATAAACCTGGAAGTAGATTCTCCCCAGGGCCTCCAGATAAGGACCTAAGACCTGACAACACCTTGATTTCAGCCTTGTGGGACCTAGAGCAAACCAGCCAGGCCTACCAAACTTCTACAGAACTGTAAGATATAAACGTATTTTAAGCCACTTAATTTTTGGTAATTTGGGATAGTAGTAGTAATAGAAAACTAACACAGTGCCAAAAGATTAATCTACAATGTGAGATTATTGTCAAGCAGACACCCGCCAGCATTCCTTCCTGTAAGAAAAACTATGTGGGAAACCAAATGTGAGAAAACTGCTTGGTGAACTAGGAGATTTAGCTATATGCTTAATATGCTCTGGTAACTGACAAAACTATCCTGACAAAGGTATATGTATCTTCAAGCAGATCAGATATGCACTTTGGCTTATTAGTGCACCCATTCCCCAAGCCAGAGCTTAGAAGGAATACTATCAACATCTGCCTCTCAACCTTTCTTTATAGGTGGCAAGACAATCAAATTACAGCCAAGTCTTACTCTGGCCTAAAAATCAGTCTGCCTTGTCAAAGTGATTTTATGTACTAATTATCTCATTTGCTGTCTGTTCATTTTATAGCTTAACTCTCAGAAGGTAACTAATTTCCCAAGGCAAAGGGATGGACTAGACATAAACTTCACCACTGCTCACATAAACGACATACAAATAACTATTAACCAAAACACAGTAACAACACATTTGCTATATGTTTATCAGCAAGCCTAAAAAGGAGCCTACCTCTTCATATCAGTAAATTTCAAAAAGTATTTCCTTTAAGTTACTTTAAAATTTGAAACAAAAATCTGAGTATATAAAACTATTTTTGGAATTAATGCCTTAGCAGAGCCACAAAACTATAAAAAATTTATTGGGTAATGATGACAAAATTCAGAAGAGATTAAAAAAAAAAAAGATACTTGGAAATAGAACAAAGACACATTCCCAGTATGATACTTGAAAAATGAATGGACATTCCGTGCAATTTTATCATTACCATTATCTCGTAAGTATGATCACTTTGATGTTTCTTGTACTCAAATCCTCGAGTAAAACACTGCAAAACAAAAAGGAAAATTAAGTTACCAACAAGCTACTTTTTGAAATGCTTTCTAACAAGACAGGAGATGGTTTATGGGTACTCTACTCTTGTTACAAGGAATTCATTTAATCTTGTCTGCAGCTGCAATAGGATAGTATATTCACGATCACAGCTTTTCAGTGGCCCTCAAAGAGAAAAAAGAACATAAAAAAACACTTTTTTCTAGGACAACTCCTTTGATAAGAACACGAGGCCTGGAATTAGACTGCTTACATTTGAATCCCTGTTTTATACCTGCCCTATCTCAGCAATTCTAAGGCATACTTTATTTTCATATTTTAAAACTTTGAAATCAGTATTCATCTTATAATGGAGGCACTTTTACACATTTTGAAACTTCTGAAATAATCGATGGCATCTTGGATCTTATAAAATATAGTATTTGCTGTGTGACCTTGGGCAAGTCACTTAACCTTTCTTTGCCTGAACTTCTTCATCTATAAAATTGAGATAATAATATTTACCTCATAGGGTTTGTACTGATGATTATGAGGGTTAATTCATGTAAAGTACTCAGAATAGTGCCTGCACAGAGTAAGCACTTATAATTAGTATTATCATATCATCCACAACATGGTTTGTTTCCTTGTTTGTCACCTGCCCAGATATCACTCAACAGGACAATAAAAAGTGACACAGATGCTATCAGGAGGAACAGTCCTCCAGCTGTTTCCTGCAGTCCCAATACTTTAAACCCACCTGCAAAAACAGTGTTAAGCATTAAGTTGATACAGATGTGGAATATTTAATATTCTGTCTCATCCACCTGCTCTGTTCTCTAATTTTTCACTGGTAAAATGTGTGGTGGAGGACTGACTGAAAGGAACAGAATTAATAAGGTATGGCTCTCCTGAGCAATCCACAATAATCTCTGAATTTACTATATATAGCTAGGAGAGGCAAGCCTCTCCTTATTGAGTTACCTGCAAGCAGAGAAAAAAAGGAGGTGGCCCACATTCAGCACACTTGATATAAGGCTCCATGAGGTAGGAGGAGCAGCCTCGGCAAGGTGGCTTATCAGAGGGATCACCTAGAACAAAGAAAAAACAAATATACTAGCTTCAAAACATGGTGTAATTATTTTAAGCACAAGAAGGTGAAAATCTGCAAACTACACAGGCAGTGAGCTGTGCTAAAAAGTTTCTGGAGACAAGGTGAACTCATTCCAAATAAGAAAAAAACAAAAATCATGCTACTTTCTACTTTAGGGCAATTTTGTGCCTTCCCACGTCAAGTACACTACTTTAAATAGTATTTAAGTAGAATGGCCCCTGCAGAGAAGTTTACAAACACAAGCTCTAACTGGAACTGTCATGATGCCAGCAACTTATTTTCCAGTGGTTCAGGTCAGAGGGAAAAAATGGACACACACCTACACAACACACATACAGATAAAGCAAATCTGACAAAACGTTAGCAATTGTTGAATCTAGGGGTGGGCATGGCATGCAAGTAATCACTGTAGTGTTGTTTCAATTTTTTTAAAAATACGTTTTAAATTCATGATAAAAAGAGAAAAAAAAAACTCCTTTAAATACATGTCATGGAATACATTATTTTATATTTGAGTTGGGATTTAAATTCAGGAAAGTCTTTCCCTCCCTTTTTTCCATGCTCAACACTGAATATAGTAGACCTTCCTCAGTTCCAACGACAGTAGTATGTCTCTAAAATAGTAAGGCAACGAGTACAATCCAAACTCTCTAAAGTCAAAAGATGCAGATATGTGCGTCCCTGGTGTCCCAAACTCTGCCTCTCTGGAGTCAGGGCAATTTAGTAAACTGTTCTCTGTGATCAACGGCAGGAGTGTAAGGAAACACAGGCTTTGAAGGTTGATGAAGGGATTTTATCTGTTTAGCCTGAGGCAAGATTTCTCACATTCTGTAATAGCATTTTCTTCCCTATAGTTCAAGAAACACTCTCCAAGGCAACTCTTTCTCCTCCAAGTGGGGATTATTCTTTTTAGTTGCTTCTAAATGAAGACCTGGAGGAAAATGACAGGGGTAAAAAATGTACTCGTTCTGGCAGTAGCTACCTACTTCTCCCGTTTTATTTTATTTTTTAATTTTTCCCATAAAAAATTCACACATACTTTGTACTTCTCCCATTTTAAATTGTGACAGAGAAGAATGAAAATTACTTAATATTAACCGCTGGATGCCAATTTTTACCAAATTACCCTCTTCCTTACTTCCTATCATTTTACTGACTTAAGCTTGCTCTTACTTCCTCAAACTTCTCAAAAAAAAAAACCATCAGCCACTACTCAGAATAAAGAGTCTTTTTTTAAAATTGAGGTAAAATTCACAAAACATAAAATTAACCATTCTAAAGTACACAATTCAGGCAGGCACTTAATACATTCACAATGTTGTGCAACCATCATCTCTATTTAGTTCCAAAACATTTTCATCACCTCCCAAGGGACCCTGTACCTATTAAGCAGTCACTATCCACCATGCTCTCCCCTCAGCCTTTGGCAAACCACCCATCTGCTTTCTATCTCTATGGACTAACTATTCTGGATGTTTCACATAAATGAAATAATACAATATGTGACCCTTTATATCTGACTTCTTTCACTTAATGTTTTCCAGGTTCATCCACACTGTAGCATGTATCAGTTTTTCATTCCTTTTTATGGCTGAATAATATTCCATTACATGAATATACCACATTTTAGTAAAGAGCTTTTAAACTCTCAGGTCCAAAAACAATTATTTTATAAAAGCAACCCAGATTTACAGTTGTTAAAATTTTAGACATAAAGGTATAAAGTATAAACCATCCACAATCCCACTACCCAGAAACGTTCACCATTAACATTTTGATGTTCTTACAGCCCTTCTTCTGTGTGTGTGCACATGTATTAAACAAAAGTGGGGCACTATACACATTTTGTAAGGATCCCTGGTGGTGCAATGGTTAAGCGCTTGGCGGCTTAACAAAAGGTCAGCGATTCAAATCCACCGGCCGCTCTGTGGGAGAAAAGACCTGGTGATCTGCTCCTAGGAAACCCTATGGGGCAGTTCTACTCCGTCATACAGGGTTGCTGTGAGTAGGAAAATCATACATGTTTTGTAGCCTGCTTTTTTCACTTGGCAATATATTGTGGACACCTTTTCATGACAGCATAGATCTTGCTCGTTCTTTTTAATGGATGAGTAATAGTACATGGCTAGCTCTGGTGGCACAATGGTTAAGAGCTCAGCTGCTAACTAAAAGGTGAGCAGTTTGAATCCACCACCTGCTCCTTGGAAACCCTATGGAACAGTTCTACTCTGTCCTACAGGGTCGCAATGGGTCAGAATCAAATCAACAGCAATGGGTTTGGTTTAGTTTGCTATCAATTATCTAACCTAGTGGTTCTCAACAGAGGTACTGCCTCCTAGGAGGGCATTTTTGGAAATATGAGGAGGTGCTTTTTGGTTGCCACAATGACGGAGAAGCACTACTGGCATTTAGCAGGCAGGGACGAGGGCGGCTAGAAACCTTGCAATGCTCAAGACAGTCCTGTAAAACAGAACTGGTCTGTGTCCTGCACAACTTTCATATATCCCACTAGACATTCAGGCAGGTGAAAAAGCTGTTCATAATTACATGAGCCTAGAACCTAACTGCAATATAACAGAAAATATTTTTGACAGTTTTACTATGAACAGACTTTTCTAGGAAGGCAATTGCATGTATTATAATTCTAGAGAAGACTGTATTCTGCTTTTTTCAGAACTTTACCAGGAGTTATTCAAACTTGTGGTATTTCTGAATCACCAATACAATACATCTGGATCATTCTGCATTTAGTTTGTAAGACTTACAGTGATTGAAATGGGTGCAAGCATCTGACTACTTAAGCCATTACGTTTTCTACTGTAGCCATGCCTAAATATACTGAAATACATGTTATTTGATTATAAATTGCATTATTTTATTAGAAGTTATTTCCTGTTTACTTCTGCTTTGGATCATAGGGCATATTTATTTTTTTAGAATCACACATAATTTTATATATTGTTATACACTTACATATTAAGTGTATGCTATATTATCTATGTATTGCATTACCCAATATTAAAAGAGGCTTTAAAAATATTATAAAAAGAAATTACTGGTTCTGATAAGATTGAGAACTAATCTACCCAATCCCCCACTAGTGGACATGTTGTGTCCAATTTTAAAGAATGCTGAGAACAACATTCTTGTTTGTACAACATTTCGTATTTGTTCTTTAGGATATATATTTTCCTGGAAATAGAATCATCAAGTGTACAGGAGATTTTTTGAGGTTTTTGATATACACACTCCCCTTCAAAAAAGTATTCCAGAACTTCTCTATCACCTGGGAGTATGGAAAGGCTTTTTTTTACCATCATTCAAAATCCAGATGCAATAAAAGATTAATAAATTTGACTATATTAACAAAAATAAAACAAACACATAAACAAAAAACCCTACCTTGGCCAAAAAACACCATGTTGTTGTTGTCAGGTGCCACTGAGTCCGCTGACTCGTATCGACCCTATGTACAACAGAACGAAGTGCTGCCTGGTCCTGTACCATCCTCACAATCGTTGCTATGTTTGAGCCTATTATTGCAGCCACTATGTCAATCCATCTTGTTGAGGGTCTACCTCTTTTTTGCTGACCCTCTACTTTACCAAGCATGATGTCCTGCCCCAGGGACTGGACCCTCCTGATAAGGTGGCCAAAGTACATGGGACAAAGTCTCACCATCCTCCCTTCTAAGGAGCATTCTGGCTGTACTTTTTACAAAACAGATCTGTTCATTCTTCTGGCAGTCCATGGCATATTCAACACTCTTTGCCAACACCATAACTCAAAGGTATCAATTCTCCTTCCATCTTCCTTAGTCATCGTCCAGCTTTCACATGCATATGAGGCGACTGAAAATACCACAGTTTGGGTCAGGTGCACCTGAGTCCTCAAAGTGACATCTTTGCTTTTTAACATTTTAAAGAGGTCTTTTGAAGCAGATTTGTCCAATGCAATACATCACTTGATTTCTTGACTGCTGCTTCCATGGGCATTGATTGTGGATCCAAGTAAAATGAAATCCTTAACAACTTCAATATTTTCTCTGTTTATCATGATGTTACTTACAGGTCCAGTTGTGAGGACTTTTGTTTTCTTTATGTTGCGGTGTAATCCATACTGAAGGCTGTAGTCTTTAACCTTCATCAATAAGTACTTCAAGTCCTCTTCACTTTCAGCAAGGTTGTGTCATCTGTATACTGTAGGTTGTTAATGAGTCTTCCTCCAATCCTAATGCTGCGTTCTTCATATAGTCCAGTTTCTCGGATAACCTGCTCAGCATACAGACTGAGTAAGTATGGTGAAAGGGTACAACTGTGACGCACACCTTTCCTGATTTTAACCTACACAGCATCCCCTTGTTCTGTTCGAAAGACTGCCTCTTGGTCTATGTACAGGTTCCACATGAGCAAAATTAAGTGTTCTGGAATTCCCATTCTTCACAATGTTATCCATAATTTGTTATGATCCATACAGTTGGATGCCTTTGCACAGTCAATACACGTAGGGAAATATCTTTCTGGTATTCTCTGCTTTCAGCCAAGATCCATCTGATATCAGTAATGATATTCCTCGTTCCATGTCCTCTTCTGAATCCGGCTTGAATTTCTGGCAGTTCCCTGTCGATGTACTGCTGCAATCATTTTTGAATTATCTTTAGCAAAATTTTACTTGTATGTGATATTGATGATATTGTTCAATATTTCTGCATTCTGTTGGGTCACTTTTCTTTGGAAAGGGCACAAATATGGATCTCTTCCACTCGGTTGGCCAGGTAGCTATCTTCCAAATTTCTTGGCATAGATGAGTGATAGAACATCTATTGTTGAAACATCTCAATTGGTATTTCGTTAATTCCTGGAGCCTGGTTTTTCACCAAAGCCTTCAGTGCAGCTTAGACTTCTTCCTTCAATACCGTCAGTTCTTGATCATATGCTACCTCCTGCAATGGTTGAACATCAACCCATTCTTTTTGGTACAGTGACTACGTACTCTTTCCATCTTCTTTTGATGTTTCCTGCATCACTTAATATTTTGCCCATATAATCCTTTAATATTGCAACTTGAGGCTTGAATTTTTTCTTCAGCTTGAGAATGCCAAACATGTTTTTCCCTTTTGGTTTTCTAACTCCAGGTCTTTGTACATTTCATTATAATACTTTATACTCTTCTGGAGCCACCCTTTGAAATCTTCTTTTCAGATCTTTTACTTCATAATTTCTCATGACTCAAAATGAGAACAGTTGCAAACATCCATTAATAATCAGAACATGGAATCTACAAAGTATGAATCTAAGAAAGTTGGAAGTTGTCAAAAATAATATGGAACGCTTGAAGATAGATATTCTAGGCATTAGTGAGCTGAAATGGACTGGTATTGGCCATTTTGAATCAGACAATCATATGGTCTATTATGCCAGGAATGACAAATTGAAGAAGAATGGCGTCGCATTCATCACCAAAAGGAACATTTCAAGATCTATCCTGAAGTACAATGCTGTCAGTGATAGGATAATATCCATATGCCTACGAGGAAGACCAGTTAATACAAGTATTACTCAAATTTATGCACCAACTACTAACGCCAAAGATGAAGAAATTATAAAGATTTCTACCAATTTCTGCTGTCTGAAATTGATCAAACATGCAATTAAGATGCATTGACAATTACTGGTGATCAGAATGCAACTGTTGGAAACAAAGATCAGTAGTTGGACAAAATGGCCTCACTGATAGAAATGATGCTGGAGATCGCATAATAGGATTTTGCAGACCAAAGACCTATTCAGTGGAAATACCTTTTTTCCACAACATAAACGGTGACTATACACAGGAATCAAATCGACTACATCTGTGGAAAGAGATGATGGAGAAGCTCAATATCAATAGTCAGAACAAGGCCGCGGGCTGACTGTGGAACAGACTATCAGTTGCTCATATGCAAGTTCAAGTTGAAGGTGAATAAGATTAAAACAAGTCCAAGAGAGCCAAGTATGGCCTTGAGTATATCCCACTTGAATTTAGAGACCATCTCAGGAATAGATTTGATGCATTCAACACTAACGACTGAAGACCAGACAAGTTGTGGGATGACATCAAAGACATCCTATACGAAGAAAGCAAAAGGTCATTAAAAAGACAGGAAAGAAAGAAAAGGCCAAAACGGATGTCAGAAGAGACTCTGAAATTTGCTCTTGAACGTAAAGTAGCTAAAGAAAATGGAAGAAACAATGAAGTAAAAAACACCATAAGCAAAGTAAGATGGCAAATAACAAAGTGAAAGGAAATATTTGCAACACATGTCACAGATAAAGGGCTAAAACCCCTAATATACAAAGAATTTTTAAAAATGGAGAAGTGGGGAGAAAATATCAAAATTCCCATCACAAAAGACACAAAGAGATAATGCAAAAAAAAAAAGAGAGAGAGATCTAATAATGATCCTTAACCACATGAAAAGATAGCGTCACTCATAAGAGAAAGAAAAATTAAAACTACACCGAGATATTTCTCACCTACCAGTTTCTTGGTGATGTCATGGGGAAACAAGCACTCTCATATATTGCTGATGTGAACGCAAAAACGGTACAACCCCTTGAGGGGAATTTAGCAGTATTTAAACAAAACTATGTATGTATTTATCTCTTGATCCAGCAATCCCACTTCTAGGAATTTACCCTGAATACACATCTCTAACAACCCAAAAATACATACACCCAAAGTTATGCAGTACAGCATCATTTGCAACTGCAAAATACTACTTAAATGTCCAAGCACTGGAAATCAGCTGAATAAGCTTTGGCACATTCACACAATGGAGTACTAAGCAACCGTTAAAAAAAAGAAAAAGAGAATGATCTCTATAAACTAACATAGAGTGCTTTCTAGAAGATACTATTAAATGGAAAAAAAATGCAATGGAGCATATATACTATGCTATCTTTTCAGTAAGAAAACAGAAAATAAGCAAGCATATATATGTCTACTTATCTTTACAAAAAGAAATAAAGGACAGATAAACCAGAAAACAATGAAGTTGGATATCTAAAAGGGGGTAGGGTGGGGTGGGGGTAGAGTGAGATTGGACAAACTTAAAATGAGAAACTTGTAGTAAAAGGGAGGACTCTATTCTTCAAAAGTGTCAATGTCACAAAAGACAAAGGAAGGCTGTGGAAATGTTTCAGTTTAAAGGAGGCTAAAGAGATATGGAAACTAAATGCAAGATCTAACCCGACTGAATGCTGTACTGGAAGGAAAACTTCCATAAAGGGCATAATTGAGTCAAAAAAAATCGGAAGACAGATGGTAAGTTAGATAAAAGTATTTTATTAATATTAAATTTATTAAAGTTGGTAACTCTTCTGAGGTTATATATCAGAAAACCCCTATTCTGAGGAAATAAACACTCACGTACTTAGGGGTAAGAGGCCATGATATATGTCACTTACCCCGAAATGTTTCAAAAAAACAAAACAAAACAAAACATGGTGTTTGTTTGCCTATCTGTATCTGTCTACCTGTATCTATCTATAGATGACAGAGAACGCAAATAATAAAGCAAATGGGGCAAAAGGTATATGGGTATTCTTTGTACTGTTCTTATTCTTTCAACTTTCCTGTGAAGTCTGAAATTATTTCCAAATAAAAAGTTTTAAAATTATTAAAAAAAAAAAGGAGACGGTGTTTTGGTTTAAACTCCTAGCACTGGGGCAATTTCTTTAGGTTCTTTCTCCATATTATGTAAAATAAGAGGGTTGAACTACATGTACCTGAAGACTCCATTCTGTCCTAAACCTATATTAGTATCCCATAATGGGAGGGTGGTGAGAGTAAATCGTTGTTAGCTGCCGTGGAGTCAGCCCTGACTCAAGCGATCCTGAATGTCACAGAATAGACAAAACTGCTCCACAAGGTTTTCTTGGCTGTAATGTTTACAGAAGTAGTTTGTCATGCCTTTCTTCTGAGGAGCCGATGGGTAGGCTGCAACTGCCAACCTTTAGGTTAGCTGCCAATTGCAAACCACTTGTCACCCAGGCTCCTTGAGAATAAATTGTTAGTTGACATCAAGTTCATTCCAACTCATAGCGATCCTATGTGTGCAGGGAACCGCTCTATAGGGTTTTCAAGGCTGTGACCTTTTGGAGGCAAATCACCAGGCCTGTCTCCTGAGGAGCCTATAGGTGGGTTGAAACGGCCAATCTTTTTGGCAGGTAGTCAAGCACTTAACCGTTTGCACCACCCAGGCTCTTCCTGAGAGTAAATTAAAGGTCCTTTAAAAAACTGTTGAAGAGAAAATAATACCCAAAAACTGCCTTTTTGATTCTTTTCTTTGGGACTCTACTAAACATCTGACAATGTGATTTCTAATACTGTCAAATCTCGTATCTTCAGAATCAAAGAAAGAACAGTGTAATTTTTTTTTCCATAGTCGGGGTTACCTAAGTTTATTTCGAACATGTACCATAACTCTACGTACTTTTTTTCATTATACTGTCATTTACTCTTAGAACACATATCATACCTACAAAGTCGGGGGGGGGGCATTTCCTTTATCCTATGACTGACATTATTTCTTATCAAGGTACCTGAAACATGCTACTGGTTTTAAAGAGAAACCCACTACTTTAAGTCCAATTATAGGTTACCCTTAAGCCTGGTCCATCTCAGCTTAGCTTTCTCATAAGATAGGAGCCAGAGTGATGTGTTTTATGTCATGCATTCAGCAGGCAACTGATAAGTATTGGTTGATTTGATACTAGTATAATTTCTTTAGGATTGGATTCACAGGGCTTTACTGTTTAACTTCAAAGTGTTTATTTCTCGATCAGCTTCCACTTCAGTTTCACATGGGACTTGTTCCCACTGTACTTACTGCTAAAGGAACCCAAACGGTCCATTCCCTAATTGTCAAAGACTGCTGCTTTGATCTTCTTCAAGGAGACTGCAGAACGGGCCAACACATACACCCAAGCTTGATGAGCCCCTAGGAACAAACAAATGAGGCACATGGATCAGGCAATAACTCAGAAGGACAAGATAAAGAGGATAATGCAATGTATTCAACTCTACCATGTCCTAGCTTTATAATGAACAAATTATTATATCTCTATAAGCCTATTCCTACTCCTATAAAATGGGGTATGACATATTATCTACCTCCTAGAGTTGTTGTGAGAATTAACTATCATAATCAAATATCATAATCCATATAAATAATACAACACAGTGCCTGGTCCATACTAATCCCTCTATAAATGCTACATATTTATAATAAACACCTGTTCTTTTTTTTTTTTTTTTTTGGTCTGTGTAGCATCTCTTCTCTCTTTAGCCCGCTTTCCTTTGGGGAAGTGACCCTCCCACATCTCATATGGTTCTGGTGGGGTTGCCAATTACAGAACTCCATCCCCCACTCCCACATAAGCTGTACTAACCAGTCTCTTCTTACAGAAATCTGAATCTTAAGTAAGACATACAGGACAAAAGGGAGCTGCAGTTCATTCACTAGTCAAAGAATTTGGTCCATGACTTCTGGCTGTTGAGATCCCCAGAGTGGCCCAACAGTTCAGCTCTTCTCTCAATTCTCTATCTTTCCAGTAAAACTTTAATCTGAATGAGTATCTTTACCAGAAACCAAGGAATCCTCATACAACATTCATTTATTCACTCACTCAAGTATTTAATAAGTATGTACAATGCACAAAAAGTAACTTCTTTCAAGGGAGAAATGAGAGCACATTTCACACTAGATGACTCAAACATTCCTCTTCTACCTTCAGCTTTTTAGCTATCTCTTTTCTGGTACTTTTCACATTCTACTTTGTGTGGCAATTAACTTCTGGATGCGTATGTTTTCCACTTCTGGTTTAAATGGAAGCACAGACAACATCCAATACAAATTTGTATGACTTAAAGTACCAAGCACCATGTCAAGCACAGAGAAGCAACCCAATAAATGCATACGGAACAGACAAATAAATGTTGGGTTCTACAATAGGTTAATTTGTGTCTTTTCCGGGAGTGACTTCTTTTATCTTGCTATTTTTAGCTCAGGGAATTAACTCCTCATTGACAGCAACATAGCTGTCAATTAACTTTTCTTTTTTCGGGGGAAGGGGTTCTCCCTCTACTGTAGTCCTAGGAAAAGTTGGTCTTTGAAGAAAAATGAGTTTAGCAAGGGGTATTATGCACTCAGTAATAAAATAATGACCAATATTTCTTGAGCTTTCCCCAAGTCTCTGGGTGGTGCAAATGGTTAACATGCTTCTCTGCTGAAAGGTTGGAGGTTCCAGTCTACCCAGAGGTGCCTCAGAAGACCTGGAGGCCTACTTCCAAAAAACAGCCACAGAAAATCTTATGTAGCACAGTTCTACTCTGACACAAATAGGATTGCCATGAGTCCAGATTTATTCTACTGAAAATTGATTTAGCTGGGTAACAGAGTGGGTAAGAGTTCAGCTGCTAACCAAAAGGCCAGCAGTTCGATCCACCAGCCGCTTCTTGGAAACCCTATGGGGCAGTTCTACTCTGTCTTATAGGGATGCTAGGAGTCGGAATTGACTCGACAGCAACGGGTTAGGTGTTTTTTTTTTTTTAACTACTGAATATGGATTAGCTCTGAATCCTCACAACCCTCTGGCATGTTCCTTTTTCAAAGGAGTGCCTGAAAGATGGTTACTTGCATGATGTCTTACAGGCAGTGACCTCAGTGCCATTTCAACTGTGGTTACCAGAGATGGTCAAGTAAAGGATGTGTAGAGCACTCATAAGCCATTGGCTGTTAGCACTCTGTCATAAGCGCAATACTATAATAAGCAAAGTCTTTTTTCTTCCTCTCCTTTTTCACAAGAGACCACATTTCTGGTACTAACATTCCTGAGTGGATGGGTGCCAAATTTATCATTTGCCAAATTCAAAGAAGTTACTGGGAGGAGGAAGGACAGAAGGTACTGTGAGGCACAGGATTCAGGTGGTCGGAGTAAATGCGCAGGCTTTGGAGTTCTGCAGACATGGATTCAAATCCTCACTTTGTTCCTTCTTAGCTGTATGATCTTGGGCAAGTCATTTTACCTGAGCCTCAGTCCCCTTCAGCTCTAAAATGGAGCTAAAATACCAACCTTGGGAGACCTACGTGAAGACAATGTGGTAATGTCGGTCAGGTGCATGACACACAGCTGTCATTTGTGTTACGCGCTCCATTGCAAAAACCGGAAAACGGAGGCTGGGGCACTACGGTGCCGCCCACAGGGCGGGACGCGCCAGACACGCCGCGGGGCCGGGGTCAGCCCGGGCCCCGCACCGCCCTCCCCCACAACGCCGCGTGGCCTGCCACCGCCCGCCCGCTGCGTCTGTCCCGGGGCCATGGCCCTCATCCTTCTCCTCCCCCGATGCCCCTTGTTGTCCCCGATCCCCCCTTGTCCCGCTAGAGGGGCTCCTGCCCCGCCACCCGTCCACCCTGCGAAGCCTCACGCCTCACCTCGCCGCGTACCCCTCCTCCGCGCCAGAGTCGCAGGCCGTGCGCGCGTCCTTTGGCTTGCGTGCTCGCTCCTGGGCAGCGCAGGCGCGAGCGCGCCGCGCGCCCAGCACTCCCTCCTTGGTGGCCTCAGCCACTTTCGCCCCTTTTCAGGGCCCTGGGTTTCCCCGCCAAGTGTCACGCCACCGCCACCGCCCGCTCTGCTCTCTCCCCGGCCCGCGCCGCCGTTCCTCTGACTTTTGAGTCAAACCAATAATCACTGATTCCCGTGTGGCGCTTTGCCCGTCGCCGGAGGCTTCCCGGTGCGTGGTGTCATTTGAGCCCCTGCACAGCGCAGTGAGGTGGACCGGACCGGTACGGTTTTTTTTTTTTTTTTTTTTAAACATTCCTACCCACAAGCACTCTCCATCCTCCGCCCTCCGTTGCAGCAGAGGAAACTAAGGCTAAGGTACTGGGCCCAAGGACGGCGAGCGGTGGCCATCTCTCATATCCGGGTGTTGGAGTGCCGTTCGTGGATTAACCAGACTGATTAAAGGGCTGAACGCGGCACGTTTTATTCAGATGCTGCTGGAACGTCGAAATTGTATTCTATGGAAAGAATCATCCCTTCTTTGGGCTTCAGAGACCCAAGCTGAGGCACAATGATGAGACGATGTGATGGTCCACTCTGATGTCAATCTTGAGCGCTAGGTATGTCCCAACATCTCTTATTACTACTACTGGTAATTATCTTAATGGTCACCATTTGTTGAGTAATTATTGCATGCCAGGCATTGTACAAAGCAGGTTACACACGTGGTCTCATTTAATCTTCAAAAACAACCTTATGAGGTAGGCACTGTTATTACCCTCATTTTCCAGGTGAAGAAATTTAGGCTCCACCCATATAAATAACTTGAGATCACACTGCTGGGAAGTGTTGGGGAAGGAGATTAAAACCTTGGTTTATTTTAGCTATTATATTGTTGTATCTATTTACAAGTTTGTCTTTCGAAAATTTACCCGACCTCTTTTAGGGTTCATTTACGCTTTCTGTCTGTGCTACCTCTTTATTCATTGCTGAGTATCTAGGTAATGCAAGTATATTGTAAAAAAAAAAAAAAAATCAGAAAATTCACATTAACACAAATGATGTAAAAATCAGCTTCCACCACCTTCAATAAACAACAGTTTGGTGTACACCCTTTCAGACATTTTTCTACATAACGTCAATAATTATAGGGTAGTTTTAAATTTAATACATCCTGAAAATCTACTTATTCATTCATTCAACAAATGAGCAGGCCCTGTTCTAGATGCTGGGAATTCAACAGTGAACAAAACAAAGTCCCTGCCTCATGGAGCTCATATTATATGGGAGAGATTGACAATGAGCAATACATATACTATATTGCCAAATAATAGATAATACCAGGTAGTGTGGATGACCATGATTTGGGGATGTTCTTTTAGATGGGATAGACAGGGAAGGCCTCTTAGTGGAGGGGCACATAAGCAGAAATCTAATCATTTAGTGAGAGAGGGAGCTATTCTAGAAGAGAAGCAGCAGGTCCTGAGATAGGGATTTGCTTAGCATATTGGAGAAGCAGCAAGGAGACCAGTGTGCCTGGAGCACAGCAAGTGGAGGGAAAGAAGGCTGAAAACGTAGCCAGGAGCCAAATCATGTATCATTTGGTAAGCCATTGATGGATTTAGTATTTTATTGAGATGTGATAAAATGCTGAGAAGGGTTGAGAGCAAAGGAGTGATCAGGCTTGTTTTAAAAGGATCACTCTGGTAGCTGTGTGTGGAGAACAGACAGTGTAGATGCATTAAAATTGCCCTTTACAGCATAAGTTGTCCTTTTACACAACAGTTGTTTCACAAATAGTTTATTAATGTAGATATTTCACCTACAACTTTGCAACCACTCCCACCTTTCCCACAAAGTGGAGATAGAGTCAAATACTTAGGAAATATCATCACGTCTTTCTCACCTAAACTGAAACTTTGAGACTGGCTAGGGCACATATCCAGATCTGGAAGTTAAGATTGTTCCCAAACTGAAGATGAGTCATCAGTGTTACGCTATTGTAGAAAAAAAACAGTCCCACATACTACGGAGATCTGTTCATTAAAAATGTAGCATTCAAACTCCTGGAAATTATCCTTCTTAACTGGATGTTAGGCCTTCATTAGAATTCTAAGCCCCAGTTTGGTCAGTGTGCTTAAGAAAGATGTGAAAAAATTAAAATACACAGCAGTAGGAAGGATAACACTGATTTAAGGCATTACTTTTCTCGGTTTTCGCCTTAAGTTACTGAGTGGATAGTAGTATCATTTATGAGATGGGAGAGACCAGCTGAAGGTAAAAACAGGAATGAAGAGTTTTGTTTTTAAATCTGTGTTTTTCAACTTGAGTGAAAATGATAAATATATGAGTCTGGCGCTCAGTGGAGAGGTCAGGGCTAAGATTGTACACTTGTATTAGAATTGTTTCTTTGGTTGTGTGTCTTCCTTAGACAGAGCTTTTGAGAACAGGAACTGTGTCTTTTCTTCTTTGTAACTTCAGTGCCCAGAAGTGTGTCCTCAACGAATATTTGTGAAATGAGCAAGTGAAGGCAAAGGGATGGATGAAGTCTCTCAGGCAAAGTGTATAAGGTAAAAAGAGAAGATAAGCACTCCATGCTTTCACTGGAAGTCAAGCACCATGACATGGCTTACTGGTAGAATGACCATAGTCACAATTTGCTCAGGACAATCTTGGTTTACGCCTGTTGTCCCTTTCACTCTGTAAAGTGTCTCAGTTTGTACAATAAATTATATGGTCATTCTTTGTAGAAGACCCTTCAGGGTCTAGCTTCGTCCTGTTTCTTTATCATCACTGCCCTGTCTTAGACTCCATTCTCCAGCCAGATGGAAGTTTCTCTGATTCTGCCTTTTGAACATGTTACCTCCAAGCTTCATTTGCCAAGGTAACTCTTACCTCAACTTAGACATCGCTTCCTCAGGAACACCTTTCCTGACTCCCCCTGTCCCACACACACAAGTCTGAGGTAAGTAGCCTCTTATATGCTCCCAGTGCTCCCTGTATTTATTGTGTCATAGCAGAGATGACTAATTGCCTGTTTTCTTGTTGTTCACTAAACTGTAAAATCCATGAGGAGTGAGATTGTATTTCATTTACCAGTGTATTCCCAGGACCTAACATGTAGTATTAGAGATGCACCAAAAATGTATTTTGGCCAAATAACTGACAGTATTAAAACAGTATTCAGCAGAAACAGAGTATTACCATCATAGAGTGAACTTCTGGGATATAAAAATAACTCAGAGATATTGTCAAAAATACCAGAAGTACAGTTTCTGAGCCTCCCTCTTTGTGAAAATGATTATTATTTCTTGTTACCTACTGTGTCTTGAGTTCCAGGACTATGTCAGAGACTTTATAAACTATCTCATTTCGTCTCTATTTTTGCTGAAACTGAGGTGGCTCTCTGTGGTTTGGTTTACAAATGGATAAAAACAGAAAATACCAAAGTCTAGCTGTGCCTTTTAGAGATCAGCTTCCTCCCCTTTCTACTCTGAGATATACCCAGGCAGTCTAAATTAGCCAGAGATTTGGGTCCCAGAGCAGAGCCCTTTCCCAACTACAGGACCTTCTCAAGTCAAGGCATCTTCCTATGACACACTCAGTGGAGAGGACTTCACCTCTCAAAAGCCTGAGCCTCGGGGTTATAGGGTTTAGCTCTCAGCTCTTTTGAGTTTACATGCTCAATTACTTTCACAGAAGCCTTGGCTTACAAGTGGTCAAGTTTAGAACTGGTTCTAGCCTCTCTGGCCTCTGCTGCTGCCTCTTATTCAGGAGCACTGCTGCCCTCCCATGCTTCCTCCTGTCTTTCTCTTTTTGTGGCTACCCTAGTCAAAGGAGTTAGAGAACCGATCCTTTTCCGTCCAGAAGGTTCCAGGAGTCCTTATATAACTTGATCTGCCTCTCCTGTAACCGGTCTACATAGGAAGGGTTGAAGCACCTTCTGCTACTCTACTTAAATAAATGAAAGGTCTACGTGTAACCATTTCTCAAGCACTGCGGCCTGCCTCTCACTATTTAAAACTAAAGCCAGGTATCAGGATTTTCATAATGCCATGGACTTTAAACAGAGTTCCATAAATTCAGGTTTTTGTTACCTATCTTTTCTGCTTCTTCCTCCCCCACTGACTTCTTTCTGATCTACAGAAAGTGCAGGGCATCTTTCTCATGAATCACCAGGCTTTGGGTAGAATCTAAAAATTAGGTGAAGTAGAAATGTATTGTTGCTGAGTGGCTTCTCTTTATCACAGAATTTTACAATGCTGTCTAGGCAGCCTAGCTGCATATTTTTCAGCCTGATACAGGGCCTCCACCTTTTGCCTATCAAAACAGGCTGCTAAAGTATTTTACATCATTCAGTGAAAGGCAGTCTATATTCTTTTGTAACCAATAAGTGCCCAATAAATGCTTGAATATGATCGATAAGGAATTTGGCACAGTTTAATATAACTGAAAAAGCATGGACTTTGAAGCCTTCCTGAGTTTAAATCCTGTCTTTACTTCTTACCACCTTCAAGAATTTAGGCAAGTAGTTATCTTTCTGTGCATCTTTTCTCCTGATTCATAAAATGAAAATGAAAATACCTAATTCATAAGAGTTTTTTAAGGATGTGATAATGTCTGTATATATAGTACCTAGTTCATAGTGGGGGCAAAGAAATTATAATTGTAACTTTAATTCTAGAAGTGCTCTACAAATAACGCTGGACTTGTGTATAAGTTGCTCTAAGCTAGGTTGACTAGTGCTAAGCATTACAGTTTTTTTCGTTATTTGAACAAGAACTATTATCTACAAGTCCAGCAGGTTTACAGAACACCAGGCAATTAAACAGAATTTCCCTTTGCTGTCGACTTCTTCAGCATCTTCCTCACTACAGAAGACTAAGGAAAGTGTAGCTATCTCACAGGTTACCAGGTAAATGCTTAGTTGCAATCTGAGATGGATAATCCAGCCTTGTCTCAAATGGAGAACAAACTCAGGAGCTATGTTCCATTTAATTCATGTAAATAGTGAATAGACTTATGCATTATGAGCAATTAACAGCACAGACTGTTCCTTAAAGTATAGAGTCAGTACTTTACTGTTGTAATCAAATAAAATGTACAAGGCTAATATGATACATATGTAACGATTTAAGTAATTGTTATTGTGCTATGTGATAATTAGGCCTTAAATGTTAAGCTGTTTACATAAATGGCTATAATTGTTTATTTTTATACAGTCAAACACATTTTTCAGTTTTTGTCTGCTCACTGTATTAATTTTCTAGTATCTATGATCATGCCAAGGACAACAGTTTTCTCTGAAACCCTTTGCTATTTAATCATGTGCTCGAGGACACACAAACACTCTTCAAAACGACACAGCAGGATTTTCATCCCAACTTGGTGCTAAAAATAGCTACTGTGTTTCAGGGCTTTCCTTACACATTCTTTCATTTTAGTCCCTAAGAAACTCTTCAAGAGAAATGTTGTTACTCCCATTTTACTGATGCAGAAACTGATGCTCAAGAGAGTGTAAGTAGGCAGCATAGTAGAGATTCTAACTTCTAGCCCTAAACCCTAACCACTGCTTTATACAGCCTCAGGAGGTAATGGATCCCACAGAGATATGTAAAGTTACTTCAGAAGATAGAATGGCTCCAGAGAAATACAGGATATATATTAGTGCGTCCAAAGAGAGAATAAGTCAACCTGAAAGAGAGAGGGGTTAGCAGGTAATGGAAGGGTTAGAGCCTGTTGAAGCCAACTTTCTTAGTGCCCTATTCGAGGAGGGGAGTCTTGGCCAATGAATTTCAAGCACTACTGCCCCATTATAGACAATCATATTGTGGAGCCTGATACCATTAAATATTTGGATTTTGGAACTAATTCCCTTTATTCTGATTCCTTACAAAAGAATCAGTATAGAGGTTAAGCCAGTGTTTCTCTTTTTATATCATTGCCCCCAAGGAGCCCTTTTAGACGTTTTTTTTCCTAGTTACCTTCTCCCATGAAATTTTAATACCACAGATATGCTGTATATCTCTTTATGGACTGTATGTATATCTGTACTTTATACATAAAAGAGTAAGTTTTTTTTTAGCCTCCAAAAAATAAATTTTTTTCCTCCTCCTGTTGAGAGTAAATAATGCAGCTTCCCATATAGGCCTACCTTCAGGTTCAGGATATGCTAGTTACGCAAGGGTAGTATTTGTGTACATGTGACAATTATATTTCTCATTGAAAATTAATAAATTGGCATTCTAATCTTATGTATGGGCTTGGTTAGTGTGAATCTGCTCTTGAATAATGGGACCATTCTCTATGTGTAGAAAATTTGGGTTTCTAAGGCTGTAAAACAGCTTGAAACATCTAGAGTGTTCTTATATGTCATTCCTTCATTCATTCAACAAATATTTATTGAGCCATACTATAGGTCAAGGACTGTGCCAGGTACCAGGAATTCAAAGAGTAATAAAACAGTATCTGCCCTCTGTGGGGACCATGGTCTTGGGGAACATCTAGCTCAATAACATAGTTTATAAAGAAAATGGTATACATTCTATTTTGATGAGTGGCACCTGGGATCTTAAAAGCCTGTGAGCGGCCATCTAAGATAATCCACTGGTCTCACTCCATCGGGAGCAAGGGAGAATGAAGAAAACTAAAAATACAAGGGAAAGATTAGTCCAAAGTATTAATGGACCATAACTACCACGGCCTCCACCAGAGTGAGTCCAGTACAACTAGATGGTTCCCAGCTACCACCACCAACTGCTCTGACAGGGATCACAATAGATGGTCCCGGGCAGAGCTGGAGAAAAATGTAGAACAAAATTCTAACTCACAAAAAAAGACCAGACTTAAACTGGCCTGACAGAGACTGGAGAAACCCCGAGAGTATGGTCCCCAGACACCCTTTTAGCTCAGTTTGAAGTCACTCTGGAGATTCACCCTTCAGCCAAAGATTAGCCAGACCTATAAAACAAAACGAGACTAAAGGGTCACAGCAGTCCAGGGGCAAGGACTAGAAGGCAGTAGGGGACAAGAAAGCTGGTATAGGGAACCCAAGGTCGAGAAGGGAGAGTGTTGACATGTCATGGGGTTATTGACCAGTGTCAAAACAATGTGTGTACTATTTGATGAGAAGCTACTTTGTTCTTTAAACTTCATCTAAAGTACAATTAAAAAAATAAAAATAAATGAAAAACAAAAACAATATCTGCCCTCAAGAAGAAGCTCACTGTCCAGTTGGAGAGACAAGTGTGTACACAAATAATGCCAACACAAGATAATACTTGCTGAAGCAGAGATGTGCTGGGTACACTGAGGGCTCCAAGAAGGGATTAGTCAGTTCTAGCAAGAATTAAGACGTAGGTCTTTGGAAAGTGGTGAGTTAAGTCTTTTTTTTTTTTTTAAGACTAGAAGTTTAATTTTTTTAATTATTATTTTTAATAATATTTTATTGTGTTTGTGGTGAAAATTTACAAGAAAGTTAGGTTCTCATTTGACAATTTCCCCACAAATTGATCGATGACGTTAGTTACGTTTTCCATACCGTGTCAACATTCTCTTTAATTGTGTTCTG